AAGCGGATTCTGTTTTGTTTTGCCACACTACATTCCCATGTAAACACACACCTGCACACATGCACACCCCCGCAGCCGCTTTTTTTCGATGTTTGTCCGTTTTCTTTATTTTAGGGAAATTTGCATACCACCGACCACCAACAACCGAACTTTGACAATGCAATTTGAAAAGCCTGACATTCGCCCGATCCCTGCCCTGCCACATGTGGCTAAACATTAGCGGTCACTTGTTGTGGGAGTTTCCCCTTCTTTGGACTGGTGCTGGCTTTGCGGCTTTTTTCGGTAAGTTATTTGTTTTGTGACACTATCGCCGCTCGTCCGTCCATCCGTACATCGTTCTTATCGGGCAGCCGCTCCGGCTCCGGCTTCGGGTCCGGCTCCGTTTGTCTGCGGCTGCTCCCGCCCGTGCTCCCATGGGGCCGGACCCTGACACGGGCCAGCAGCCGTTGGACAGGACTTGCCACAAAACCGATTGCCACTGTCCTCCCCCATTGTTTGTCACGCTGCAGTTGTTCTGTTTTTCAGTCCTCCAGCTACCTGGATACGATACGTTCTCCGTGCTCACCTCGATTTATTATATGCTGTTTTGCTGGAGCTATGCTCCGGAAAAACTTTCTTAATGAGCCTCATACGGATTTTGTGGTTTCTCTGGCTTGAATCGATGCAAAGTTGGGCCCCGTCCCGAACAATAGGCTGAGGACTGTCCTGCGATTGGCAGAGGAAAGGAGTCCCAGCAAGACTTGTAGATGCATATCAAGCCGGCTCCCGGTCCGCACTCGGCACAATTCCAGCACTCGGAGCCCATTGTTTGCACTCAAATTATTTACACATTATCTGCGGGCAGAGGAGCCAGCCGGAGGACAAGAACGGGAGCACAGTGCCCCCAAGGAGGACAGACAACACACACACAGGGTGAGACAGCCAGTTGTTATTTTAATAGTTTAAGTAACCATAATATGTTGAGGACTTTTTAATAAACTTGAAACACGAGCAAGCGTGAGCCACAAGGACACCAGAGACCGGCCCCCAGAGAGAGAGAGAGCGAGAGCGAGAGAGGGGCGAGGACAGGACAGGACAGGACATGGGAAGGATGCGAATGTAGATGTGAACGTGGAACAACTGCAGGCGGGGCCAAGATTTATGCAAACCAAAATGTTGCCAAAAATTACAATTTAATGGAGTCGACTCTGAGAGGAGACTGTGCGTGGCGTGGCATGGCGTGGCGTGGCCCATAATGAGCAGCGAGAAACTTGCAACAAAAGCCAAAGTCGACAAGACAAAGGCCACAACAACAACGACAAAAATAGCAAGAAGGAGTCGCAGGACCAAGAGCAACTAGAAATGTAAGCAAAAGTAACTTCTCTAATTTTGCAGGAAATATGAAGCCATTAAAGTGCAGCAGACAAGGCGAAACATGGCAACATCTTGACTACTGCGGCACACACACATACCCAGACAGAGCAGAGGCTGAGGCTGAGGCTGAGGCTGAGGTAGAGGCTGAGGCGGAGGCGGCGGCGAAGGCTGAGGCTAAGGAAGGAGCAGCCACTACCGGGCCATGTGGCGACTACTGTCCTGTGAAAGTTGTCCTCGAGAGTGTGAAAATAAATTGTGAAAAAGTCGCAGGAGAAGTGAAAATGGCAACTGGTTTGCATGTGGCCCCACGACAAACTGGAACTTCAGTGGAACTCCGCTCCATGGTTCGGCCAGCGGTAAGCGGTAAACGGTAAACGGTAAACAGCTGTTGCACGCGTTTTTTTTCCTATTTCTACAATTTATTTCCACACAAAAAAATAGGAGGAAAGAAAAAGCCGTATATACATATCTTTAATTGCCAACTTGGGCAGTGACAGGCGGCGAGAAAAATGAGCCCTGGTGAGGTCCAGCGAGGGATTCTGGGCGGCCAGCTGGTGTCACATGTCCGGCGCTAGTTGCACTTAATCACTGCCCCGGCCAGCTGGCTGTCGTGTCGACCCGGCGGAACCGGAGCAACCGGAGCAACCGGAGGTGCCTTTCCCCTCTGGGCGTCACCTGAGTGAAGTCCCGGCACTAAGCCATCCAGGAGAGCGCTTTAATTGGACAGATTGAGAGCGAGAACAGAAGCTCCGAGCAATCCGCGATGCTCCCCATCCCGCACAGATATAAATATGCATCGAGTGTACGCCATAGAGTCGGACTACCAGATGGATCGACCGCAATGTCGAGCGGCACCCGGAATTAAGTTAATTTTAATTTACGCTGATTAATTGCATTGTCAGGCCAGATGAAATGTCCCGCCCTGGTCGGGCGCTGCTGTGGGTGCCCAACCGGAGGGCCGGTGGCAACCGCATGCCAAGTGTTAAATGTCAGAGCAACGCTTTTAATACAATTTGGTGGCAGATGCGAGGCAGGGCGCTCGCGCCAGTACAGTGCGTTTCGTGGATATAATTGAGGGGAATCGATATAATTAGGGTTTTTCGAATAATATCCAAGAGTGTCTCGTTTCTGACACGGGTGCTCTGCGCTCCCTGCTCCGTGCTCCGTGCTGCGTGCTCTCTGCTCGAGTTTCGGCATCATCTAATCGACAATCGGCCACAAATTGCTGTTTAAGCAGCGCACATTGAAATTCCGTTTGCATATCGGCCATAATGTCGTACATTAGGTTGCTTTTTTCCTCTCCTCGGATCGGGGGGGCCACTATCTAGTGCGGCGGTGCACACTCAATTTAATGGTCTTGGGTGTTCCAAATTCGGGAATTAAATAGAACATTAAGAGCAAAAACGCTCCACAGAGAGATCCCTCAATTTGCATAAACGGCCAGAGGCGGCACCTGATAAACAGGTGTCGAACAGGATATAAAATTCTATTGGCTCTTTTTTTTATTTTTATTTTTATTTGTTTCGTCTTCCTTATGTGTAGGTTTGCCCTTGCCGAAGGTACATTACATCGCCCACAGAAGAAGTTCTTTGGGTGACCAAAAATCCACCGATTTCGGTTCGGGCAAATATCTATTTTGTTCATATTCGGATAAAACATTCACTAATATAAATAAACGTATATTTAATGTTCTTTTATTTACAGATATTTTATAGATGGCTCTGTGGGTCCACTAAAACTACCATCTACCTAAACTTGGGCATAAATCAAGCGCATTTTACACAGCTAAGTAGATTCAATTACGATTTATTGGCAAATTTATTCAAATCTCATTTCCAGTTAGCTCCAACCAATCGGGCCATGTACTGTCTAGGAAGAGCATCCAACATCCGGACTGTACCTGTAGCTGTACTGTATCTCCTTCCCTTGTTTATGTTTTGCTCCGGAGCAATCCAACTATTGCGTAGAACTAGCCCAGAACTGGGCCATTGTCATGCGGAGGAGCACACGGCTTCGTTGGGTTTTTTTGTTCGAAAACATTGCGAGGCATTTGCATAAAAAGTTGATAATTAGGAATGTGTTTTGGATAAATCATACAGTGGATGGGATAAATACAAAGCGTGCAATTACGTCGCTGGGTGGCCCCGAGTGGGAGTGTAAAGGATCCCATTACCCCGACGTGAAGGCTTGGCCCGAAGCCTTTCTAAACTCACATGAAGTCCCTACAATTTATGAATACACAACCAGCGAGAGGCTCATTAAATGCACGCCAAATCGTTGGGAATAATGGAGCAAATGGTCATTAAGCCACTCGCCATGAATGCGATTCCCATTCACATTCTTCCATACACAAAGTCAAGTGCGCGGCTTAATATGCAAAAAATCAATTCAATTTTCGATTGTGCGGCAGCTGTCGCCACGTTTGATGTGATGTGCACATCAGAAGTCGCTCGCAGTAATTCAAAAAAATTAATCAAAAAGCCATTTTGACAGCCTGCAGTCGGTCCGCAACGATCCGATGCGACTTGGCCATGCCCTGCATGCCCTGCATGGCACGCCGTCAGGTGAGCCTGCTGCAGCAGTAGCCTATGATTGATGCGAATGACTCAGCCAGAAGCGGAGGAGACTCACTTAGCGATGAGGTGCACGTCGTGGGGAACCTGGAAGAAACTGCAATAATGGACATTTAAGAGGCAACATCTGGCGCCCACCGGCAGTCTAGAGAAGAACTCTTTTACTGACGTCAATGGGCTGGATGAATCAGCACCACGTCAGCCTGGATCCGAGCTGATCTCCTGCCGGAGATATCTTATGCACTGCATGTCCCCGGATGGCTATTTTTATTCTCTGGGCGGCTCACTTCTATCGACGAGAAGGCGATAAGGCGCACACGCACCCATAAACCTCGAATTATTTGGCTTTTCCTATCCCAGGGGCCCCGAAATGACCTTAAAATTAAATTGCCAATTTTGTTTTTTATGGCCAACATGTGTGTCCCCCCCCCCCTTGCTCGTTCCGGTGCTCTCGATGGAGGGAATTGGATCGAGACTAACTATCTCCTACTACGATCCATACGCTGAGGCCAGGCCGTCTTCAATATCTGTCGATACCCAACACCCATCGCTGATTAGGTCCCCGAATTGACAGCTTTAACCGATCTCGGTCGATCCACCGTAAACGCGCAATACGAGCATGATGATACGAATACGGCTACAATATGAGTATCATCAAGATCCCAGCGATCGGAGTTGTCAGGCGGATGGTTCGCACGTTCCGCTGGGGCTACGACAGACCCGCGACGATCCCCTGCTGCATACAAAGCAGGGCTCTGGCTCTGGCTCTGGCTATGACTGTGGCTGTGGCTGTGGCACTGCTTCTGCCTCGGTATATGTCTGCCTATGGGTATATCCGATTTTTTTGTCGCTGCCTCTCATTATGCTCGTCTTGTTGGCCTTTTTTGCCAGTTTGGTTTCGTATATAAATCTAACGCGCTGCGTTGCCCAGACATCACTTCTTTGGTGGAAACTTCAGTGACAAGTTTAGCTCCTGCTGTGATCCCTTAAGTAACCTCTCCAGTCTGCCCAAGGAACTATATAGGAATTCTTCCTCCTCCCCAACCGTAAATCGCATATCGAATTAAATCCAACATGAAGTTCAGTGCTGCCTTGGCTCTGCTGGTGATCGCCGGGTTCGTGGCCAGCGGCGATGCCCTGCCCGCCAGGAAAAGTGAGTTGAGCGAGTGAATAAGGAGCCGAAAGGCCAGCCAGCTCACAAAGGATTAAATGAGCTGGAGATCACCACTATTCACCATTTATTCGATCATCAATCATCTCTCATTCCATTCCATACGTCATGCCACGTCACCAACATCTACTGAAGATCGGCAATACCTCGTTCCAGGAATGGTCTACTACCAGCAGCCCGCCGCCGCCGAGTGGTACGGAGCCGCGCCCCAGCAGCGCATCATGTACATGCAGTACGTGCAGCCAGGACGCACCCACGCCCGCTCCACCCAGGCCGCCAGCGCCCTTGTGGCCGGCGAGACCGTTGCCACCGGCACCTACCTGAAGGGTAAGCACTCGCCCACTAAACTCCACTCACTAATCCCAGCCAGAACTAACCGTGCGGTTCCTAACCAAAGATTGCAATCATGCAGAGTCTGTGGATGAGCTCAGCGCCGAGGGAGTCCAGGCCGAGGATGTCCTGGCCGCTGCCGGAGCCCACGGAGCCACTTCCGTGGCCGAGGCCTATCCCGACGAGGCTCCTGTTGTCCAGGTGGCCATCGATGCTGATGTCGTGCCCGAGGCTGAGCCCGAGGTGGCCGTCGTGGAGAACGATGACGCCGCCAAGGTGCCACGCGAATACAACTTTGTGTCCGAGGAAGCCGCCGCCGCCGCAGTTGCCGCTGAGGAGGAGGCCATCGCCGAGCCCGTCGCCGTTGCCGTCGAGGCCGAGCTGCCCGCTCCCGCACCCATTGCCCCCGTGGCTGCCGTTGTGCCCGCCAACCGTTACCTGCCCGCCAAGAAGAAGGTCATTGTCGAGCTCGATCAGTCCCCCGAGGAGGATGAGCCCGAGATCGCTGCCATCGAGGATGAGGAAGCCGTGTCCGACGACGTTGATGAGGATGAGGAGGAGCTGGTCGTGCCCGTCAAGCCAGTGGTCAAGAACCCAGCCCGTCGTCCAGCTGCCAAGAAGCCCGTCAAGGCAGCCGCTCCGGCTGCCAAGCCCTCGAAGAAGCCTGCCGCTCCTCTGCCCGCCGGCACCTTCTTCCCCGTCAACTTCGGAGGCACCAGCGGCGGTGCCATCGCCATTGCCAACTCGTTCAGCACCGGCGAGGGCGGAGCCGCCACCAGCCACGCCATCGCCTATGGCTCCCCCGACTCTGTGCGTGCTCGCGTCCGCCCCAATCCCAGCAAGTTCCGTCACTAAGTCACCGACTGACGACCATCCTCCGCGTCTTGCTAGATCCAGTCTGTAAATGAAAGATTCTCCTGTAATTATTAGCGAAATTGTCAACTTTTGACCGCAGTTAAATAAACTTTTTTTTTCTCTTTTTAAACGCCATTGAAGGAAGTGATTATTCGGTTGGGGAAACGATCCGCTATGCATTTCTAATATATTTATGTTTTCTGTTTCATTTGACGGTGATCTCGAGCCAAGATCTAAGCCTATCGAGATACAATCAAACTGGAAATGGACAAAGTAAATGCTCTTAAATGAAGAAAAAAAATCAACTATCATTCGGCTATAGGCTCGACTTATAGCTAAGGGGCGTATGCATTGATCCTTCGCAAATGTTACATCTTCTCGGTCGTATAGCATCCATCGTACGTGTATGTTTGCATGCATGTATATATATATATAGGTATTTTAAAAGACACTACGCGTATTGTACAGCTTTCTAGACTGCTGGATTTCGTTATTCATTTTTCTTTATACAAGAACTATAGAGGTATCCGGGGATTAATCCTCTGATGCTAGGCTACATGGTTTAACTGCTCGGAATTGTTTATAACTTTCTGCATAATCGCTCAACTTTTGTGTGACTAATATATAAAAACATTAATTTTAGTGTCTCCTCCACCTCCACCTCCGCCACTGGTGCTGCTCCTGCGACTCCTTTGGCTGTGGCTTTGGCTGTGGCCGTCCTTCTGATATCAGTAGCCGTACTTGTCCTGCAGCGAGGACATCACATCGTTGGCCAGATTGCTGAGGCGCCCGGCCACCTTGTGGACGCCTTGGCGCACACTCTCCTTCACGCTCTCCACGTCTAGGTCGGGGGCATTAAAGTTCGAAGATGAATACCCACCGCTTCCTCCTACAGGAAAGACATTTCAGAAGTCACAATCTGCATATGCATCTGCATGAAGCCATCGAATGTGCACTCACCCCTGCCAACAGGAGATCCGTCGCCGAAGTAGTCCGACGAGGATATGGCACGTGATCCCTGGAATCGATTCAGACTCGCGCCAGCGTCAGAAGACGAATGTTCGCTGGCGAAGTATTGGTCGGAGCCAAAGCCCTTCGAGTTGCCAAACTTTTGTTGGGCTATCACGGGATCGTTGCTGGCGGTGCTTTTGCTCTTGCTGGTTGCATAGGAGGAGGAGGAGGATGTGGCACCCGAGCCGCTGGCCGTCTTCCCCGACGCCTTGGGCTTGTCGTAGTCGTAGCTGTTGGCAAACATGGACGTGATGTTGCTATGCGTGCCGCCTATGGGCTCGATAGTCTCGTAGCCCAACGCGTCTAGTTCGAATTTATCCAGTTTGCTGGACCCGCCAGTCGAACTCTCCCGCTTCTCGCTAGAGTATCCTCCTCCGCCGCCGCCGCCGGCAGTGCCGCTACCGCCACCGCCACCGCTGTACAGCGAGTAGTCGGTGAAGAAGTTGTCATTCTCCAGCGAAGACAGTTTATTCTTGGGAGCCGCCGTCTGCTGGATGGTCGCCATGTCCCCGATGGCGGAGTGGGCCATATCGGAGCCCCGCAAGCTGAAGCCCATGCCCAGACGCTCCATTTGCTTGGCCTTGGCCGGATCCATGGTCTTCAGCTTTGCTTCTTCGCGTGTCTTCTGTACCGATAGTTCCTGGTAGGCCAGACGCATGCTGGCTACCGTCTCCAGCTCCTCTTCGGCGGTTTGGGGCTTGTCAGCGGGTGCTGCCTGGACGCTGGACGTCTTCATCTCGTTGGCCGCATTGGCACGAGCCTCAATGTCGGCAAAGTTTGTCTTTACTTTGGTGGCTCCCAGGCCGCCCACCTTACGAGCGCCCAGCTGGAAAGGATCCGAAAAGAACAGTTAATCGGACGCACCTCCATGTATATGTCTCGTGCGAAAACTTACCCCTCCCTTCTTGGGCTGTATCTTGCGCACTCCTATGGAAGAGGGCACGGACGATGCCACCACCGAGTTGAGCAAATCCACGCTGGGGGCGCCGCTTAGCTGGGTCTCCAGATTAGTAAGCGATGGAGTCGGTTTCGTCTCCACCTGGAAGGCAGACAGTGATGAGCGGGGTGGGGTAGTGGTAAGATTGGGGGGGCGGGGCGAGAACAAAATAACTCTAAAAGCGCGGGCGTGTCTCTTCTGTTTGTGTCTCTGGGGGGGGGGGGGAGGTCTCCTACCTTGCTGATGTTGTTGTTTTCCGCGTTAAAGTCCGCTGGGGGGACATTGTCGTTGTCGCACTGAGCGAAGAAGTCCTCCTCCTTGGCAGCCTCGTTGCCCTCGCTCTTGTCGACCGCCGGCTCCAGAAGATGCAGCTGTGTTGGTGTCGGTTTTGGGTGTGTGGCGGTATGTCGATTGGGATTGGGATTGGGATCGGAATCGTAGTTCGGAAAAGCGCACGGCATGTTAGCAAAAGCAAATGTTAATCAGGTGTGACAGTGTCAAGAAACTCCAGGCAACAAATAACAAATTGTCAGAGCCAGACGTGGAACTGGGAACTCACCTTGGTTCCGTGCACCTTCATGGCCTGCTGGGCCTGGGCACTAAGCTTGTCCCGATAGAGCTGGGCCGCCCTCGAGTTATACTTGACCTGGGCATCGGAGCTGGTGCAGTTGTGGGAGCGGAAGAACTGCGAAGCGTTGGCATTGCCGCCGAGCTGCATCTGGCGCAGCTGCTGCCACGTCCAGTTCGTGTCCAGATTGGTGCTCCGCACGAAGGTCAGGTGAACGCCCAGGTTCCGGTGGACGGCCGAGCAGTCGATGCAAATGAAGATGCCATACGTGACGGATGACCAGGTGGGTGCCTTGGCCGCGCAATCGAAGCAGGACTGAAAGCGGGGTCAAAGCGGGTCAGAGGGTGAGTGTAGGGGGCCGAAGGGCAAGCTGCAGAAGTAGGGCAACTCACTTTATTGGCTGGCTGAGCACGCAGGCGACTGAACACGGACTCGAGGTCCTGCTTGGTGGGTCCGGCAGCGGAGTTGGACATGACGAATTGCACAAAACTGAATTGTTTGCTCACAGCTATGAAAATTGTTGACGTTGCCTTGGAGTTGCTCTTTCACCTTTGAAGATGTTGTAAGCCCTGCAGCTGTATCGAATGGCGCCCGTAGTTACGTGTTAATGGGCATACACCCTTGGATATTATCCTACCGAAGCGTTTTTAACTAATTCTTTAACGTTTTCAGAACAGAAAGTACGTGGACGTGTGTTTTCCTCAAATGCAGTGGATTTATCGATAAAATATACCGTCAGACCCTCAGAAATATACCGATATACCGTGTGTTTTCCTCAAATGCTTCAGATGTTAGTACTGTAAAGTCCGCCAAAAGCATACATCCATTCGTGCGGCTGCCACGTTATTCCCGCTCCGAATTCTTGTAAAGTGGAATGTTGTTTTACAAAAATATATGTATTTTTGAACATATTTTAAATTTTGAAATTGTTTGTCTACTACAGTTTTTGAAAGAATGCTCAATACGCTCACTTTTGTGCACTATTTGCAAAAACATCGATAGAAGCTAGTTCGTACTAGTTCGTGAGTCGACCATAGACCAACTACAATATATTTCATTGCAAGGTGTGTGAGCTAGAGATGGAAGTGGTGTTTCGGTGCTTAGCACAATTGCTTAATTCAAATTGAAATCAAAGTGAAGATCAACAAAACACCCACCAACTGCATAGAAGACTTGTCTGCGGAGGACCAGAAGGTGTCGGATATGGTGAAATCGCCGTGGAAGGTATGTGAACATGAAAGACGAATATCTACTTGGGAACCGCGCTTGGCGCTACGAAAGTCGCAATTTACGAATGAAGTAACATTTGACTCCATCTATTTATGTATTTATTTAGCGAGAGGAGAATGGGTCTCAGTCGCCGTGCCGCATTAAAAGCTCAATGAGCATGGAGGAAAGCAAGCCGCAATCTCCGGGCGAGGATCATTTCGACACCACAGAACAGCATGCGCAGCTAGATGAAGGGCAAATCAAGACTGAGCCAGATGACGACCAATCCGTGGAGTCCGAGAGGGATCCTTTCGACGAGCTGGCCGAGCTCCTCGAGGAAGAAAACGTCCCAGTGTACCTTGTTCAAATGCCATTAGTGGCGCCGCCACCGCCATCTATCACCCTACCCGATGACTGCTTTTTGTTTACTAGACGCACCAAAGTGGAAATTGCCTCTGCCGTGCCCAGTTCTTCGTCCAGCGTCAACGAATGCTTGGACTCACCACATCAGCGCGCAGCTGGCTTGGCGCCCATTGAAGTGCACTCTCAAAAGAAAAGTCGTTCAAGGCGTGGGCGTTCTCGGAGTGGCGGATCTTCAAACAGACAAGAAAGCAATCAAGGAAGAAGTCTGATTAGATCATTATCATCAGTAGGGCACAGAAACAGGCAAAAACCTCCAGAGCACAGAGAGGATAGAACCACTTCCAGTCGTAAAGGGGCTCGCAGCAACAGTTCCTCGATGGAAACTAAAAAATGCAAAATGTCAAGGGGTAGGAGCCCAGGCAAGATCAAAAAAAGGAATAGCACTTCGAGAATATCAACCGAAACCGATAGAGGTAGAACACGCAGCCCGAATGGGACGAGTTCCAGCGATCGTGAACATTTTCGCAAGAAGATGTCCTACCAACGGTTATCGCGCCGTAAATTCGCCGAGAATGGGCATGTGTTTGGCCGTAGACGTTCTAGAAGTGGTTCACCGAACAGAAGGCACTGGCGTCGAGACAGTTTTAGTCCGATAATATCACCGCAAAGAATCCGACGAGAGTTCCGACCCAGACAGATTCGTCGCTATTCCCCAAAACGACTGTCCGGACAGCGATGTCTTTCTCGTGAGCCAACCAAAAGCCCCTCAAGATGTAGATCCCGTCAGAGCGGCCGTTCTTATCAGCATCCTCAAAGACGCTCGCGAAGTGGAACCCGACAGTACCGTCTTTCTCGTGAGCCACCTATACGCCACTCGAGAAGTAGATCCCGACAGCACCGTCTTTCTCGTGAGCCCCCAATACGCCACTCGAGAAGTAGATCTCATTCTGCTGTGAACAAAACAAGGATGAACGACAACGTTTCTCCTGTCTGCTCGGCCGGGTCAATTGAGATCTTTCAACCGAGTGATTGTACACTTCCACCTCTGGGACCTGTTGAGCCAATGGCTTACAACTCACCAAGACCGATACTACCAATAGTAACTAGTCGATTCGAAAATCCAGTAACACCATCTCCAGTAACACCGTATAGACATTTGCCTCAGATGCCAGCAGCCAGCAACCATATGTGGTATACGCAAACGCATTACACTCACTTTCAGTACAGCACCACGACTATGCAGGACGGTCCGAACTGGCAAGCGCCTGTCTATGGCTATGGAGATGCACCGCCTCCTGCGTTGGGTCCCCACGATCTGCGCCATCGCCTGGGCTCGACTCGCTCGTTGCCATTGGGCCCATGCGATCTGCGCCACCGGATCCAAGGCCGACCAGAGTGTTTTTTTCCCACGGAAAACACAGCATCTCCATACAATGTAGCCCCAGGCCAGACGGTCTATCAATACTATCCAAATGGATACTATTAGCTATCGTGGGGCGCGAAAATCAAAGAATTCTCTGCATAATGCGTATTTTTATTTTTATTTTTATTTTTTGCATGGTCAAGCATCATGGTAAGGCTTTATTTTTACTTTGATTCTGCATCAATGTCAATAAAAAAAACATTCGAAGGCTTCCACTTATTATTAATTTAATGCATTTTATTCGAGTGCCAATATGATTCAATGAATAAAGAATAAAGAATAGTCTTAAAGTTGCGAACTCCAGGGATAGGGATCTCTTGGTGTCGGCGAGTTCTCCGCAGGCGATGTCAAAGGGTCGCCTGACTCTGGCTTGCCCTCTTCCGATTCAGACCTAAGCAATTTCAGACGTCTTCCATTCATGCTGAAATCGATGTCCGATGGCGGCGTCTTGTCCATAGACCAGATACGGTTTATGTAGTGGCGATCAATATGGATTTGAGAGGATCTGGGCTGCCCTACCTCTGGCCTAGTGCTTCCCGACATTCTGGATATCTTGGGATATGGGCTGTTGGCAATTTTGCTGTTAAGTTTGTTAAGTCAGGCCCATGCTCAACACCAAAGCAACCCTGAGGCCAGTAATGGAAAGTAATAATAAAAACATACATATTTAAAGCCAAGTGGTCAAAACGTAAAAGTAAGGGTAAACTCGGCCCATTTTGTAGGCGGTGATGCCATCCAAACGCATTGAATAATGGAATGGATCAATCTTTCCGCCCTCCCGTTCCAGAACAAAGCCTGCCACGAGTTTGTGATTCAGTGGCATCCGTTTGTGCAGAAACCAGTCGTGCCATGGGCGATCCTAGATTTGTTTTACAATGAAGAACTTTACAATTGCTTTACAATGAAGAATGGAATAGAATCATGCATTTTCTGGCACGTTGGGACTAGGGCGGCTAGCGTTTTAATCAGTGCTTCGACCTGGGCCCCTTCGGACTCTATTCTGCGAAACAAATTCTCCATAGAAGAAACAATATAGGGCTGAACAAATTATAGACACGCCCATGGCAGATATGGTGGCGCTGGTACTGCCTTCTGCATTTGGTACATTGTTTCTCGTCAGAGCTCCTCAACAAATTACTTCCCATGCAGTTCTTATAGATTTGCTTATAGAACAGAAGGCCATTATTCTCCACACCATCCTATTCGTTATCCATTGCTTCCTTCAGAGGTGTTTCCAAGGCACTACTCACAATTTTTTTCGTATCATCTATATTCTCCACATCCACACTTTGGCTCTCATCGTTTCCGTTTCCAACGAACGTTCGACCATTTTCGCAGCACGCAGGCATTTGTAATTCTTTACCGCGTGACGATCCAAGTAGAGGCGACGCATTATGTGCATTATGTTCATGGTGCTGACCTGCTTTACGGGACAATAAAAACAATCCTTTTTCTCAAATTCAATTTTGATAATATTCTTCATATGGCGATTATACAAGTCCAGCCCCTAAACACAAGGTCAAGGCACATATTGCACTGGTACTTGCGATTGGGCAGAAATTCCCCGAGATCTGGAGTCCAGTATCCACGGTATTTCTTGGTATCCATGGCTCCATTCCCTAAAAAAAAAAATGGTCAATGTTCAAAATAAACTCAACGCTAACCGGCATTTATCAGTGTTGAAAAACTTCGCCATAGAACGCGGCGTCTGTTTTTTAGATTTCTCTTTTAATTCTTGTTTCGCGGCGGCTCAGTCGGTTTCTGTTTCGGTTTGCTGACAAAAAAAAGTAAAGGTTTGTGAAAATATTCTTTCGAATTGCATAAAGAATGATTCTTCATGCTGACAAAAAAAAGTAAAGGTTTGTGGAAATATTGTTTCGAATTGCATGAAGAATGATCTTCATGCTAATTGTATATGTAGTTCTTGTGCGTAAAAGCTTTTTTCGCTGCCCGGCTTTTCTTTGCTATTTCGGAGAGTGGGCTCCTCACAAAAAAAGACAATTATTGTTTCTGTTTGCATAAAGATCATTGTATTAAGTGTTGCATGCTGGAGTATTGTTCCAAAAGCGTATTTCGGACATTTTTCTATCGGAATTTGTGCTTCTAAAATCTTACACACATTCATTAACATATGCACTTGTGTGTGGCACACATGCATGAGTACAATCTGCAACATATGTATGTATGTGTGTATGGTGAAATATGTATGTACATATGTAGTATTTTTGAATAAATTCAGGAAAACCGGTCAGCTCTTTCCATTGGTTTTTACGTGCACTCGCCGTCTCGTTCACGCACACGCTGCCGCCTGCGCACCTATTTGGTTATCTGTTGATTGCTGCCATACTTGCTGCGCGGCGTCCGCCCCTACTGTATTTTCCACGCCCCTAGCCAGAGCTGGCACTCTACTGACGTTGCATATGGCTCAAAATAAGCCCAATGCGTTCATGGCGTTCGTCGCCGACTGGCGCGCTTTTAACCGCTTCGGTCGTGGCTTAAGCACTTCAGAGGCGGTGGCAAAGTGTGGGCCTATTTGGGAGGTAAGTAGCAATGCGGTGGTCAGTAATAGATTATAAACTGGCATATCGATTTCAGGGCATGAGCGACCGGGAGCGCGGTCCGTACAAGTCGAAGGCTAAGGATTCAAACGTGCTGGAGAGAGAATCAAAGACAGAGCGTCTGAATTGTCTGGGCGTCACCATCTCAAAAATGCAAGTGGAGAAAAACGAGGCCATAGATGCAGACCTTCAAATGAAGAGAAATATCAAACGCATTGTTTTGAAAGCGACAAATTCGATGAGTAAGGTACTTTGTTCTTAATGAGAGCCAGCCGCCATTAACAAAACTCGCTTTTGATTTTCGCTTGCAGAGTTGGAGGAAGAGGAATTTTTGTTTGTTAGCTTCAATTATTTTACGAAGGCCCTGAATGGGGATGTTTACCAGCCCGCTGAGCTTTCCGCCTGCCGCTTCTCTCTGAAGGGGGGCATAAGCTCTAATTACAGCACCATGATTAATCCTGGTGAGTGTTGCTGTTAGCCTGATGCTTTGGACCTCGTTGTAATCAGAATTTCTTCTCAGGCCACATCATCTTTGGACAGACCAGCGATGCCCAGGATCATTCGCGGACTACGCACAAGTTGCCCTTGCCACCGAATGCCATGGGCGAGAAAAACCTGGGAAACTTATACAGTGATACCTTGAAATGGCTATCCGCCAGCAATGATGAGGAAGACGGGCAACATGACCATCCGGTCATTGTCTACACAACCCCAGAGCTAATGCCGGTGGTAAAGTCTTGCTTCCGTTATCTGGCATGCGAGGGCGACACCGACAAACATGCTGAAAAGATTATGGTCTACGACATCTGCTACTTGTTTCTCACTTTGAAGAAGACTGTCTTGGACTTGGTTGGGGTTCCGAACGATCACATGAACATCCATGTGACTAACAGCTTCTTTAGGAGGGACTTTTTTGAATTTAGCTCAGGGATTGCGTGCGACGTAAGTTTATAACAGTTGAAGATATTTCTAGTTTTTATCAATTTCTAAGCATCAAATTGTTTTTCTAGTACCATGAAAAAGTCGATCGAACCAAATACTGTACTAAAAGTATGGTTCTGCGTTGGGGATACATGATTAGCCTCTACATTTGCGGAGACCTGGCCATTCCACTCCAGCCTAGAAAGCACGTTCCCATTGAGGTCAAGCACAGCTACACCGTGACTCCTGGCGACTCTTCATTAGCCCTAGACGGGACTTCGACTGATTCAGGCTACTCTGGGTATTGAGATTCATTATACAACGATGGAGAGTTCCCTAGCCTGGGTGGCCGCCGTCCCAAGACCCCTGCCAAAAATCGTTACATGGTAGCTGGCAAAAAGACCCTTCGCTAATTTGTATGCCTATTACAATAATATTATCATTACATTCTTGAACTCGCTAGCAGGAAAAGCAGTCAATTATTTTTAATTACACTTCCCTTCCGCGAAGGAAATAACATTTAATCTGACTTCAATTCAAACAAATACATATATATCTAATAAACTATGTAACAACTGCCTCACAGCCGTCCGCACTGGAAAGGAGGGAAGTCTTTGGGCTGCGCGAAACAGTTGATATGCTCAACGGATCCTGCAGGAGAACGAGTCGTGCGAACGCCAGGTTCAGCAGAAAAGCCTGACCCAGCAGCTCGCGCTGATAGCGCTCCTGCTGAGAGAACATATTTCTCAGGTCCGCAGGGAACTGCACCAGATTGCGTATTCCTGCATGTGCCTGCGGTGTAGTATCCGTCTGATCCTCCATGTTGTAGTGGGTGCGCATCATGGAAAGAATGGTGTCCTCTGAGGAGACCCTCTCTGTGCCCACCAAGTGGTTGAAGAGTCGGGCTGTGAGAAAGCGTCGCATGTAGTAGAGGTTGTTGCACTTGGTCTCGTCTGGATCGCCCCGGGACAGCAAGGCATAGCTCATAATAGCCGTCACTTGAGACTTTTGGATGTTCACATTTTGCTGATCGATGCTGCCCGGATTGCTGCTGGCCTGGGCCATCTGTGGGTTCTCTAATACATAGCAGTCAGCCTGCGGGATTTGGTGGGTCACGTAGAGGCAGCGTCGGGCCAGCTCGGCCAAGTGCAGCTTCTTGTCGTTCAGCTCGTGATGCTGCCAGTGGGTGAGTAGGCAGGGATCATTATCATTCTTTCCAATCTCAATTCGTGCCCAACTAACGCTGGTAACACCAATGCGAACTCCCACGCTCGACGTAGTGCGCACACGCTGTCCCTCGTCCATACCAGGAGTTATGAAGGGAGCCGTTCGCGTGGACTTTGGCTTCTGGACGGCATTTCCCTCGCTGCTCCTTCTGGTGCCCTCCGGCTCCAGCAGGCTTTTGAAGAACTTCGTTGCTACCTTCAGGCCAAAACCCTCCACATACAAGATGTCGTTCACATCCCGCAGTGGACCATTGCGCGTCCTCCAGTTGTGCAGTTTGCTGGCTCGCCCCTTGGTTATGTCGTAGCTGTGGTGTGTAGAACAATTCATGTTATTATAAGGGGTAACTGGCGACCTGGGGTGTGTTGTGCATACCAACCTGAGCATCTGATCGATGCTGGAGTCGTTGAGCGTCTGCAAAATCTTCACGCGCTCCTCATCTGTATAAGCCGGCAACAAGCTGTTGGGCTGGTCATTGTCGGTCGCTACCGGTGTCACACGTGTTGAAAGGTGCCGTATATGTTTTCCGGGCAGAGACCAGAGTGCGCGGGAGTAGTAAAGCATATTTAATTCAATTTTAAACGTTACACAAAAATTAATAATACAAATAATAATATTTGGAAAAAAACCACTAGAAAAGAATAGGAATCAGACTTATCGATAAAATATACCGTCCGACCGTCAGAAATATACCATCTCATTTAAAAAATATACCGTAAATATACTGACGAATTCAAGTTATATTTTACATATTCCTCGTTTTTGATATTCCGTGGATTATTACTAACTATATAGAACATTTAGCCATGCCCACATAGGTTCATCCGATTAATAAATCTATTTTCTAATTGACTAGTATTTTTTAAACACTTGCTTTAATTGCATTTTGCGTAAAAAGAGGTTTTAGCGAAAATCGTCAAACAAAAAAAGGTTTTAGCGAAATAGGTCAAAACAAAAAAAGGATAGTGTTCATATTGAATAATTCTGGCTAACTAAAACCCTTAGTTCTGCCTACATAATTTTAGGTCATTGATGAATAAATTTTCTACAAAATTGGCTAGTTTTTAGTCAATGCTTTTATTGTATTTTGACTAAAACAAAGTTTAAACAAAATAGTATTTTAGACATGATGCGCGCATAGGTTTTTGTATACCCTAGTCGCGCCAATCGGAATAAATCCGAAGCAGGAAGCATGGATTGACTTTGGCTCGAACGCCTCGTTTGGGTTTGTTGCTATAGTATATAGTTTTTTATTGCTAGTGAAATACGACCTTAAACGGTCCCAGCCAGAGCCTGGCAACAGCATTCGTATCCATACATGAAGATGTTGATTTCTGTATACAATGTACTTTTAATATTATTCTTATTCAATTAAACTTAGGAATTCATCAGCAGACGAAGATGTTCCATGCGAACCCATTTGTCTGGGAGCGAAAGGAATCCATCAATTGTTTGACTTGGTCATTTGAAAAATGAATAAGTAAATAAAAATATTTTAAAAATAATGATAAATGCATGGAATTTATTACTTGTAGTACTAGTATTCAATTCAACTTAAAAACTTATCTGGAGAGTGTGTCCCTTGTCTGGCTTTCTCGTGAGTGTATGAACATCAAGATTCTACGATGGTGCACAGATTTCTCAGGGCATCCTCGAAGCTTGAGGTACGGCTAGTTTCCTCCCACAGCTCCTCCCTCGTTGCGTTTGGGGTACCGCTTTTGAAATCGGCAATATCGACAATGGTCCGCATATCTCCCTCTCCATTTTTTTTTGGCAGAAATACAATGTCGAACTCATTTACATTTGGATTCTGGTCTAACAAATTTGACGGTGGCTGATGCCCATATTTAACAAGTCGAGTATGACCTCCACGCGTAAAGGTTTACGTTTCCTTTCTCCACGAGCTGCATATCCCTAATGGCCTCGCATTTTAGTGGGCCGAGTAACGAATGGACCACCTTTTGGGCCTTGATCTACAGCTCCTGCGGTATTTTCTGGGCAAATGCCTTCAAATCCTCCAGAGTGATCCCATTGAGGGACTTATACTTGACAATCGTCAGGCATTGGCTTTGTCCCAGCACTACAGAATACTGCCTAGAATTCGCTATAAAGTTTTTAATGGGAAAAATGCATGGATATATGCATACCTTACCTGCTGAGGGTCCATGGATTGTTCAGAATTGTGGAGTAGTAGTCGCGCTGGTTATTATACCTGGTTATACCTTAGGCAATGGCCTCCACAAACAGATATTTTCATTGTAGCGGCTCACAAACAGACGCAGACCATTGTCGCTGACCCTGAAGTGGCTATTGAGTTTGGCACTTTCGTCGAGTTGCAATTCCTTGTCCAAATGGAGCTTTACCAATGAAACGTACAAGTCGCACGTATCAGCACTGCAAGGGAAAAATTTTGGAGGCGATGGCCATCATTGTCATTCTACAATTTCATGTTACCCAAGTTGAAAAAGGCATGCGGTTAGCCTTGGGTGGCAAGTCCGGCAAGCGGCTGGTTGCGACGCTGTTCATTTTTGTTTGCCATCAGCTGAAACTCAGAGTCCTCGAGAGCGCGGCCACATTCAGTGGATTCCTTCAGCATCAAGGGATGCTTTAGAGGAGAACATCGTGTCCTCGCTTAAGATTGAAGAGGAGCATTGGCCGTTGATGTTCTCCTTGGGATCCTGGGCTTTCTGCGCATGAAAATAATATGTTGCAGAAGGTGGGCCAGGCACTGATAGTTGCGCGGATCGGCGAATGGACCGTGGTTGACCATCAAGGCACAGGATGCGTTGCTGGGCAATCCTATATGGACCGATGGTGCCGACAGCACAAGAGATCTAAACGCGACCATTGAGTACCGAGTGTTTTGATGGCTTAGCTCGCCTTTTCACTTACCTGTAAACTTTCGTGTCGTTCTCCGATTTATCGGGATCATCCAGATACTCTACATGCTCGGCCATTCTAATGTGTGTCGGCTAATGGCACAAAACTCACGTTGATCTTAATTGCAAATTATATTTCACTTAATTGGGATTTTGTTATAATAAAACCCGCCGACGCCAACTATCCGCAAAAACAAAATGGTGGAAAACGCGGGACGCAACTTTCAGTGGTGGGCATCTGACCTAGCGATGGGATGGCCGATGGCCGAAAAGCCATGCAGTGTGAGCCAGATTAATATGTACATACATGTATATGCTTTTTTGTCCATTCTAACTCGATCTGGTGACCTATTGATTGTTAGACTTGGTCATTTTATTGAAAATAGCGAGGTTTTTATAAGTTCGTATTCCACTAGACTTGAGTAAAAGGTTGGTGAGACCAAATAGATACCTTATGTGAAGAGCAGGCAGTGAGAGAATTACATATATAAACCATAATTTACTAAAGGCAGTTGTTGGCTGTAATTTCATGGTATAAATTTAGCGTTTCTTTGTTGATCCGTGCCACCAATTCGGTAAAAACACCATTCGAAAGCATTTATACTTCATCTCAAGCTTACTGCATGCTTTTATTGAGGATTTTATTGCTGGTCTTGTATTCTTCAATTGAAGTAGAGTGAAATGTAGCTAATGGGTTTACAAATTTGTGTCCGTATTACATGACTTTAGTACTTTTTCCTCAGAGAAAATCATTGTATTAGGTTTTTGTATTATTATTAGGTCCCACAATAAGAGGACGCCGCTCAGTGGATCTCACCTTATGCATAAGTTTACCATGTGCCTCATCAAAATAGAGAGGAAAGAGAACGAAATGCTCATTGTTGCGTTCCATTGATGAGTTTCTTCAATAATTCAATGTTACTTACACATTTATATATTTCAATTCTTCAATATGGTAATTGTTTATGAAAATGCGAATACTAAAAGTGGGGGGCATTCGGTCTTCAGCAACGTGGGACGCACGTCGTGTTGCGGAATAAATGTCAACCATAAAATCGTAAATTTAATTGAATTAAAACAATAACAACAACGGCAAGCAACAACAAGTTCTGGGACTCTCGGTTGCCTTGCCATTTCTGACATAAAACACTCGCCTCGCATACATTATTTTTGTTTAAACTGTGACATAGTACAACTGCAACAGTAACGAACAGCTGTGCTTCAGCGCCGATGCGGGTGCATAAAAGTGAAATTTCGTACGGGCTGGAGAGCAAACAACGCAAAAGTAAAAGAGAAACCGAAAACGAAGAGGAGGCACAAGCAGACACAGGGAATCCAACGAGAGGCCACTGGGAATACTGACTCTCAGCGCAGCCATGACGCCGACTGACTACAGCGTCAGCAACAGCAACAACAACACCTACAGATATGCCAACAACAACAGCATCCTCCAAAAGTCAGCCTCCAATTCCCCCACAGCCACCGCGCCTTCCAACGCCTTCCTAGAGATGGAATTGGCAACCAACGAAGGAAATACATCCTCTACGTCTGTCACAGCATCCTCGCCCCTGCCTGCACTGGACAGTTCCGTGAATGTCAACGAGGATAGCACAGAGTGCGATGCTTTCCTCATTGGCAGCGGGGGGAGCAGTAGAAACAGCGGGTCGGCCAGCGGCAGTAGGCGAACCAACCGCCAATCCTCCTCGCTGTACCGCGGCAAGATGCGCAACTCCTGTTGGGTGCGCGCCCACTCGTTTGTCACCCGCAACTGGTACTTGGGGTGCCTGGTGCCCGCCTCCATCCTGGGCGCCCTGCTCTTCGTAGGCTGGATGGCCCGCGACTATGCCAAGCAGCTCCTCTTCTGGATTGAGACGCAGAACGCCTGGCTGATCTTTGCCGTCTTCATGGCCCTCTTCACGGTGGTCAGCTTTCCCATCGTTGTCGGCTACTTTGTGCTGCTAATCACGGCCGGCTACCTTTTTGGCTGCCTGCGTGGATGGTGCACAGTGATCCTGGGAGCGAATCTCGGCATAGCCATTGCCCATGCCACCATTCGGAGCTGTCGTCATCGGATACCAGTGCAGAAGTGAGTAAAACTGGGGAAACGCTTTGCTTTGATCTACACCCGGTCGAGAGCTCTGCAGTGCGGACTCATGACTGATAAGCCCTCAAGGTGTGGATTTCATAATGGAATTTGCTTGAGGGATCCACCACTGATAAGAGCAGGCCCGGAATCGAGATATGTCGTTAAACTCGCACTTCCCATGAGACGGTAGGCATTAAAATCCGATATGTCATTAAGGCAATGCCTGATGAAGGAGGCTTCTCCTCCTGCACTCAATATTTAGTTAGTTTATGGTCTACTTTTGGACTGAGGGAAGGGTCTCTGTCGACAGTAGTATAATTGTAGTGCTTCACATGTGGTAGCTCTATTGCCTATTGCTGCGAGGGCCTTATCAGGCCTTACCGCTCGTACGACGAGTATTTATAAATACTTGCTCGTATTTATTGCAAAAGTTGGAGAAATAATTGCAAAGAGCGAAAGTTGATAGTTGATAACGACAAGTTTCTACACTTCCGCACTGTGAAGGCCTAACGGGGAGAGGAGGGTGGTGCCATTTCCATTTCCATTGCCATAAGTGTTTTTTTTTGATTTACCAATTAGCGACACAATTCCCCCGGCCCCGTTGGCACTGTGTATTGGTATATATATTGTAGAGTATGGGGCTACTCCAATCCATCAGAAATGATTTGCGAGTCATGTAGGCCTACATACGTAATGACTGGTTAATCAAGTGAAAACATTGCCCCACTAAAGACTGGTCTGGTGGCTCTCATTCATGGGGGAGGGTAAATAGGCGGACTGGTTTAGTGCCCCTAATAATTGGGCAACAAACCCATAATTGATGATGGGTTGGATAAACGCAGACAGTAGAAATAGATACTCGTATGTATGTACATATGTTCCATTCCATTCCATTCCATTTGATTATAGAATTGTTTGTGTATCTCCCACTGATTTGATTCTATTTTCAGGCTGATCAAGAACGATACTGGTCGGGCCATACTGCGCGTGATATCTGGACCGAGGGCCTTCCGTGTGGTGCTCTTCACGCGCCTTACGCCCATCCCCTTTGGACTGCAAAATGTGATATTCGGAGTAAGTCGAGAGAGATCAGAGCAGATGTAGGGTCAAATGCGTTTGTTGAACTGTCCCAGTCACAGTCCCAGTCCAGTGGGGGACGGGACTCACTTTCCCCGTAAATCCTCATTCGATTGCCCTCTCACCATCTATGGGTGTGTGGGCATACACAATGACGGCTAGTGGCAACATTTCCTGACTGCCAATGCTGTCTTCCGTTTGCAGCGAACACCTGAGTAAACCTCATATCATATTCAGTCACACTTATCGTTAGTCACACTCGAACCTCGCGTTCATTATATATTCATAGTCGTCCCCCGTAAAAGTTGCTGCTGTAAATAAAAATTGAACTTGAAATGAAACAGGTTTTCCCCGTCCCTCTGCGCTTCAGATCAACGAAAAATGTACCATAGATGTATATAACTACTCTTCTCATTTACAGATCAGTTCCATCAACACTAGAGACTACCATGTGGCCACCTTTCTGGGCCTGCTGCCGGCCCAGACCATCAACGTCTATCTGGGCTCCACCCTGCGGTCCATGCACGAAGTCCTCAACGACAACGACACCAAGCTGACGGGGTACATTAGCTTTGTCGTCGAGGTAAGTCGAGGCCTTCTCCTACGCCGATTGGGTAATTCTACCCTATTGATTTTCCCTCTGCTTTGCGTGCTTGCTTTAAAGTTATCCATTTTCATTGCACAAAAGTTCGGGGGTCATAGTTTATTCCATTACATACATACATGGGTGTTACGTACAACAGTTTGTTCTGATGGTTGATTGGTTGGGAAAGAAATTGGGGTACAATTTGCACATGCTGCCCCTTAAATTCTGGAAATGGGGCTGACTTTATATGGATTTTCCATTAGCTAACATCTAGCAAAACTAAACAAGTTTTTCTCACAAAAAATTAGTTTTTTCGGCGGATTGTTTCCGTTACGGGAAGCTAGTGGTTGTGCACAGTGAACAAAATATATATAGCAGCCAGCTTGTATAGTTTTATAGCAACCAGCATTGAGTGATACTCGACTCGAGACGCACAAGCGAATGCTGCAGAGACGTAAGCCGAGGTATATTGGCGCTCAAATCGAGTTTAGCTGACCCATTACTCGAAGAGAATACGGGTATATTAGATTCTTGGGGAAAGTGGGAAAACCCAAAATGCAGAGTGTGAACCAGATCAAATCTATTGTATAGTCAGAAGAAACAAATGGAATTGCAGTGGCTATGCAATGCGCTTCCACGCGCATGCCCATTCTCTCTCTCACTCTTCCTCGTGCAGTGTGCGCGATCTGGCGGAAAGGAGCGAAATACTTCCCAAATACTTTCGAACGAAATTTTAGTAGAACAAATATTGTTTATTAGTCTTCTTTTTTTAACCTCATTATAGAATATGCATTCTTGTTTCAAGGCTTGGTCATTCCATGCAGGTCACGAATGAATTGGTAGAATTGAAATTTATTTTTGGTAATCTTAGTTGCATTTTACATAAATTTCATAGCATATTTTTTGGGATGAACTTGGGTGTAGAATCCATATAAACTGAATGTAGTAATCACATTTCGGGTCGTTTCCGATCCCCTGATAAAAATAATGCAAATATCTCATAAAACTACACTTCGAAGAGAGCATCAGGTATATCTATAGATTTTAAACTTAATTGACGTTTTCGAACCATATCTTGGGAAAAACTAAAGAAATAGATTCGAAAAAGTGTCAACTGACGGGATAAAGCTTACTAGTTGCCCTATATTCTCAATTTTGTTGAATGTCTGAAAATCATATTTGGGAAGTAGTCCGATGGCAAAATTCTTAATTCTAAATCGTATTTGTAAATGATCTAAAATGTTCTTTTCTGCATTTAAGGTTATCTGCGGTGTAATTCTGATGTTTTGGGTGGTGCAGAAGGCGCGCAAGGAACTGTCCGAGACGCTGCTCACAGCGGACTTCAGCAGCAGCAGCAACGAGGGCAAGCACCCGGACATCCAGGTATAGCAGCGTGCCTGTGAGGAGGACTGCCCCCAGGCGATGCCCGAGAACTGCCCGAGCCCGACTGAATCTCCGCAAGAGTCGCACAAGACTGCATCTGTGCATTAACTAGTTTTCATAAGTGGAACTGGAGTTGGAATTGTTTTAGATTAAGAGTAATTTGGAGAAGTTCAGGTGATGCCATTGATGCCAAACATTAAGCTATCGCTACCTTTGTACAGCTACGCTACGGATATCGGTTTATTATTATCCATGACACCCACATGCACATGCCCTCCCAATGACACATCCCGCACATCCACACACACACACACACACACACACACACACACAAACTGATCAGACTAAGGATAGATAGGTATATACATATACAAATGTATACTATGATTAGGAATATCTACAACTAAATCGAAGAAGCCTCGCTATTGCGGTCATAATGCTGCTCTATAAACGTTGTTCAATTACTAGCGGATAAGCTTAGCCAATAAATGAGCCAATCGGAAGTACAACCAGGCTAGCTCCTGCTTTGGGCCTGGCCGTATCTCCAGCCACGCAGTCGCTTGCTCATGTGCTGCTGGAAGGCGGTCTCTAGCGTATTCAGAGCCAACTCCACGTCCTCGAAGCCCACGCACAGCGGTGGCCTGAAGCTCAGCACCTGGGAGTGGGAGTAACAAGAGGTAAAGGATGTCAAAGCATGAGCTCTTTAAGGAATACCACCACACACAAGATTGACTACATACGAATGGATTAGCAGAAAGTGGTTAGAGGAACAGGAGAATATTAGATTATGACTTAAAATTGGCTTTTATTCAGTTAATTCGATTAATTCGGCTTTTTAAATGCATTTGTTTGAGACCTGAGAACCCTGAGACCCTGAGAAGTCATCCCAATAGATGGTATACTTCTCCTCTTCACTGGCGGCTGGAGTTGCACGCTTTACTTCTTCTTGGCCAAAGATGCCGTGATGGCGCGGTCCAGCACATCCACGGCAAACTTCACATCCGATCGATCGATGCACATGGGAGGCTTGATGCGCAGGACCTGTGGAGATGCACGAAAAGGGATGCAAAGATAGAGACGCAAAGAGGTGCGATTTGCTCCGGAAAGAGCCCCCAAAGCGGCGAGGACTAAGCTCTTAGTTCCGGGAACCCTTTCATCAACGGGAACGTGAGTGCTTTGGTTAGTCAGATGTGCCCAAAAATGGAACGGAATATCCCAGATGCGGATGCACTGATAACTCATGATCGATGATTTCTACTTACGTTGCCATGGAGGCCACCGCGTCCGAAGAGCACACCAAGATCCTTGCACGTCTCCCAGATCTCCAGCACATGGGGCGTGGCCAGGGGCGTGCGCTTTTCCCGATCCTCGACCAGCTCGACGCCGATCATCAGCCCCTTGCCGCGGACATCGCCCACGATCTCGAAGCGTTGTTGCAGCTCCTCCAAACACTTGAGGAAGTAGGTGCCCACCTCCAGGGAGTTGCGCTGTAGCTGCTCCTCCTCAATCACGTCCAGAACGGCGATGCCCACCGCACTGGCCATGGGATTGCCTCCGTAAGTGTTGAAGTGCAGCGCCTGCCCCAGGGAGGCGGCAATCTCTGGGGTGGTGACGACGGCGGCCAAAGGGAAGCCGTTGCCAATGCCCTTGGCCATAGTCACGATATCCGGCACATAGTCGTGCCCCTCAAAGCCCCAGAAGTGCTCTCCCGTGCGGCCGAATCCCGTCTGCACCTCGTCCGCCACGAAGAGTCCGCCGTTGGCCCTGATCAGAGCAGCTGCCCGCTTCAGGTAGCCCTTGGGGAACTGCACAGTGCCGCCCACGCCCTGGATGGACTCGGCGAACATGGCCGCCACCTTGCCACGGGGCAGGCTGTACTTGAAGGTCTCCTCCAGCTCGTTGTAGTATGCATCTCCTGCCTGGCAGCCTTCCTGGCACTGGCAGCTGCGCGTCGTCTGCACGGGCGAGTCGCGGCAGGCAGCGCCGCCCCAGATGCCTTGATACGGATCGGGATTCATGACGTGCACTAGTCCGTTGTTTACTCCCGCCAGCGAGAAGCGCCACGTGGAGTGGGCCGTCAGACCCATGGTGTAGGGCGACATGCCGTGGTAGGCGTTGCGGAAGGACAGGATGTCCTGGTTGCCCGTGTGTATGCGTGCCATGAGCATGGCCAGGTCGTTGGCTTCCGAGCCAGAATTGACGAAGCAGACGCTCTTCAGGTTGCTCGGAAACTTGGCCACCAGCCGCTCCGCGTACTCGTGGATCTTGGGGTGCATGTAGATGTTGGTCGTGTGCCACAGCTTGGAGATCTGCTCGCTCAGCGCCTGGTTCACCTTGCTGCCAGAGGGGAAGGGAAATCAATGACATTGAAAATCGATCAGAATTGCAGGAGGCAAATTCTCTTACGGATGACAGTGTCCCACGGAGACGGTGACAATGCCGCCGAACATGTCCAGGTAGCGACGCCCCTCGTGGTCGTACAGCCACTGCATGTGTCCCTCGTGGATGACCAAAGGCTTCTTGAAGTGGGCCACCACATTGGGCGTCAAATGGGTCTTGCGCGTTTTAAGGATCTGTTCGTAGCTGGGTCCCACGTAGCCACTGGACCGATGCTGCGTCTCGGGCATCTCGTTCTGCACGAGGTTCATCACGGCTGGAGCCGCCTTCGAGTAGAGGGTGGTGCTAGAGCTGGAGCGGCTCGAGGTGGAGCCCGGCAGCAGCCGTCTCGTGTGGGCTGCAAGGCAGATCGGACACGCTTCCCATTAATATTTACGGGAGATGAGACCAAGATACCCCCATCAGCACACGTGACCCTCTGCGCCGCCTGTGGGAGAGCACAGGCAGCTCGGTTCGGGGCGCACACACTTATGGAAATGTCGGCTCGAACCTGATGAAATGCAAATTCATGTGGTCGGAGCAGCGAGCAAGCGGACAAGCGGACAAGCGGAATTCAAGTGCGAGGTCGCCTGGAACCGAACACCTATTGTACATACATATGTGGGATTCTATGAAATGAAATGCGATGCGAGCACAGTGAAAGCTCTAAGTGGCGTACAAACATTTAATTATATTTTCTATGCCATAATTTCCCTTGCAGTTTCATATTTCTTAGACTATTTCTTCTGGAGATGATCTCTTCTGAGTGTCCTCCCAAGTGGGTGAATACTGTACTATATGCAGGTATATTATATACATATTATATAGAATTAATTGATCTGAGGCGCAATTTGCTATGCAAAGTCTGCCAGCTGGAACTGCACTTGTCCACATATGAGTACCGAGTACTGCCGAGCACTCGTACTGTTTCCTAGGAACCGAGAATCGTAGCACCTGAACAGGCTTTCAACAGGTCATTGGCAGGCAGGGTAGAGTACCTACATTTGTACAATAAAGTAGATATTCCTCCAGACTCCAGGGAAGGGTTTTCTTATTCCCATTTCCATTCTTCTAAGCTAATGCGCAGTTGGAAGCATAATTGAATGTACTATAAATAGTCGTACGACTTGCCCCCATTTGAGGTGATAAGCGCCTGGCCTGGCTGGCCCCCTGCGGACTGCCTAGGCCACTCGAATAATCAGTGTATTGTACCTTGGGAGCAGAGCTGCTCCATGCTCCATGCACCTGCCCTGCCGAAAAATCAACCTCCTGCCTTATCAGCACACAAACACACAAATATTTGGCCAGATAGATCCAACGGGGACCGCGGACCTATAGAGCCACGCGAGCCGGTGCGTGATAAAAGCGTGATTATGGGACGGCAGCCAGATAAGTTGTACGTATGTATAGTATGCAGTAATAGGTGAGAAAGATCGCTGCCCGGTGATCAGATGATTCAATTCGATTGAGTGGATTCGGGGATGAATGAATGGATGAGATGAGTGACCCAAGGGTTCATCCAATATTCTAATTTGTAGCATTCTAAACTCTCAAATCTCAAGAGATTGCAAGTATCACTAATCTATTGCAGCTGACGTCAGAAATCATTTCAAACGATCGCCTGTGGTCGAGGATAGTTTTATGCCAACAAAAACTCACCAAACAAACGCTTGGACATCATATTTATTCAAGTTCCTGCTTTGCAACACTTTTGTTTCCTGATATGATCCGGTAATAAAGACTGCTCTGACAGGTCTCGATGCCGGTGTCGATCTCACACGAAGCCAAAGCTGAAAACGCGTCCGCGCGTAACGACGTCGACGAAGCAACTGAACGGTGGAGGTGCCAGTGACAGTACCAGTGCCAATGGCATCGGTTTGGCTGCGATCGGCCGTGATAAGCGTGGGCATAGCTTCGGCTGACGGTTGTTATCTGTTTATGAGTAGAGAGAGAGGCCTGCAATGTCAAGGTTTTCGGGCGAAAGCTCTCACTTTTGTTTGGAGAGTGGACAGGTGGGGTTTTCTCATAATAATTTATTTCAATTCTTGTTCGCTGTGTGTACTCAAGCAGCACAAAAACAGAAGTGCACAGGTATTCCATTTTTGTTTCTAACAAAAAATATATCTTCTCGCCATCGGATCGGATTGGATCCCTTTGGGTGATCGCTCAATTCTGGCTTGCAATGTGCAGGTTGGAATTAACGTTCGGTTTTAATTTACATTTTGCTTTCTTTTTTTGATATTCTGTGTGACTTGTCTACCAATATGCTACAATACATCGCTTTATAGTGTAATAATAATATATGTACTTTCCTTTATCAATCAACATCACGAGTTTGCGCTTTGATTCTCACATTGTCCATCCTCTCTACCCTTACCCCTACCCGACCTAACGCAACCCTTTGCAACAAATATACGAGACGACGAGAAACGGAAAAGATACGCGGGAGGGTTCTCTAAAAACAAGCTCTAGGCGGCATCCGGGGCCTACAATGATTACAGAAGCAACAATAACCGGAACTGGAGGAGCAGCTGCTGCTCTTTCCTAATTCCCCAATCTGTCCAATCTGCTGCTGCTTCTGCTGCTGCGGTGGTCGCTCAGTTGAATTCGGGATAAAGATCTGGACTTCTTGGCGTGGCTGTTGACTGGACTGTTGACTGCTCGAGGCTGGCCGCAATCTGTCGCAGATTCTCTACACCAGTCAGCAGTTGCCTGCAAGACGGAAGACGGAGAGGAAATTATTTGGAAGCAGCCGGCCAGGCCCTCCACTCACCTCAAATTCTGTTCAGCATTGTCGGCGGCACTCCTCAGGTCCCGCGACACTTGATGCGTTCTGGACGGACGCGTTGCGCTGCTCCCGCTACTGCCCGTGCCACTGCCACTGGAGCCACCAGGAGTCACAACGGTAGCTCCTCCCGTGGCTCCATCCGTAGCATTACGCAGAGCAAAGAGTTCCGCCTGGAATGAAGCAACAGGATGCGAAAGGACACTTTTGGTTATAGATCCAAGACTCACCTCTAACTGGGCCACCTGTCGTCGGAGGCGCTGCGTGTTCTGTGTGTTGGCCGTCGTGGCCAGGGTCTCTCGCCGGCGCGAGGCCTCTGTGAACTGAAGAAGCTGCTGCTCAAAGTCATGAGCTCGCCTGGTCTGGGCGTTCAGCTCCACTCGAGTCTCTTGCAGCTCACGCTGCAGTCGTTCGTTCTCCTGTCGCATCGTCGACAGCTGCAAAGGGCCGGCCGCTTCCTGGGGCGGCGAGTCAATGGAATTGGAGGGCAGCCCAATGGCCACATCGGCTAGGCGCTGGGACGAGTGAATGATGGGACCATCGGAGAGGAAGTCGGGCAGCATTTTGGCGGTGGATCCAGCAGACGGCCCTGGGCCGGATTCGCCAGAGGATCCATCGGGTGGACCGGGCAGGGAGGCAACACCAGGCAGGCCAAGGGAGGCAAGCGCCGATGGCAAAAGCCCGCCACCCACTGCACCGCTAGGGGCCTCGGCAGCACCCAACGGTGAGTTGGGTGGCGAGCTCAGGTGTGCGTCCTGGACGGCGCACCAGGCGTCCGGCAAGTGGTCCTGCACAAAGTCTGGCAAAGCAGCTGCTGCACCTCCCCCTCCACCACCACCACCAGCTCCGGCACATGTCATTTTTGATGTGTCCAGGGGCAGGTCCAGCTTCATTTTGGGAGTGGCTGTAAGAACCAATCGGTTTGGGCGCAAATCCCTGTTTCCGGCCGGTCGTCGTCGAGGCGAGGATGAGGGGCATGGTACATGGGGCGGCATGTCGTAGCTGGAGTAGGAGCGCGGCACGTACCGCGAGCTGGAACTGCTTGAATTCAAATTGGACGATGCCGATGGAAAGATGTCTGTTGGATAAATAAACCGTTCAGTTTGGGCTCATTTTTGGACTAATTTCAGATCGACTTACCATCGTCTATCCGCTCGTCGAAGAGCTTGTTGTTGCGCACCTGGGCCAAGGATACGTGATCGTCGTCGTCATTATCAAGGGCGTGTACATCGTCATGACCCAGCCGTAGATCTGGACGTTGACGGGATCCGCTGCTGCTGGGTGCTACAGCTCCTCCTCCACAGGCCGCGTACTCGGCCAGACTCGCCTGCGAGTCGAAGGAACTGAAGCGCGGGGACCGCTTCATTTTGGAGGAGGCACTGCTCCCGTTCGCGTCAGGTGGTTGCATGAGCGAGGCCGAGGCCGACTGGGGCACCTTGGGCCGCGCTCCCGTCGATGTCTGCACTGCGGCTGTGGCATCCACTGATGTTACCGTGCTCGTGGGCGCAGTCACAGTGCCACTACTGTTGAGAAAGTGCTTGAAGGAGAACGACGAGGAGGAGCTTCCAGTGTTTCCCATTGTGACTCCGGTAGATGTGGTGGCCCGTATATTTGTGTAGTCACCGTAGCCGCCGTCATTGCGATTGCTGCTACTGCCACTCCCACTGCCAGACAGACTCCCATTCAGACAGAGGTCTGCCACCAGGTCGTTCACTCCCCTGGATGTCGACGAGCATGGCTCCTCCCTCTGGGGTCCCTTGCCGCGTCCTACTCCTGTCAGGAGAGACTGCTGTTCCTTCTGTGGTGCTTGTTGCTCCTCCTGGGTAGCCGTTGTCGCATTGCTAGCACTGCCGTTGCTCCCATTTGCCATTTAATTGCACACACTGGTGGGATGACGATGACCACTTGCACTGCGAGTCGACTGCTTGGAATCTCGTTTGTCACTCTGTTAATCTCCCGAATTTGCTGTCTGAATGAATGTCCTCGCTGCGTGCTGTGTTCTATGTTGCGTTGCTCCCTTTGTTTATGCTTTTCCTCGCAATCTAGCTAAATTCTCATCTCATTTCTCTGCCGACTTTTCACTTGGGGTTTATTTTTGCAGCACTTTTGCACTTTGCAGCACTGGCGGAACATGCACTTTTGCCGTATCTTTGGCCTATTTAGGGCTGGTCCTACTATTTTCTGACCAATGCAGTGCTGGTAAGTGCCGCATTCATTAAACGATAGACTTAACCGAAATATTTTTTTGAATTCATGTTTAATGATAATATACAGTAAAAATGCAGAATGCATTTGGATGAATTCGGAAACAACCCCTTACTCTCACTCATTCAATTCAAGAGCTAACCATAAACGTACCATATCGAGATCGGGATATATATACGGAAAACAAATCAAATGCATGGATATAAAATATACATGTCTGTGTAAAAGATATTATTAATTCATTTTCAGAGCAACTTGGAAGACACTATTTTAATTTAAAATTTACTAAAAAGGGTATACAAACGTCCATACCACCGGTGAACAGCAACAAGTGCTAAAATACCAAAAACATGTAAGAAATGATCTGACATTCCATACTCACGTTACAATTCACATTTTTCGCTTGAACCTTTGTCTTAGACACAATACAATAAAAAGGAGTACTTAACAGTAGTGATTTCAGATCATGGACCAGTGGGTATTAAAATAGTATGCACGACGGTGATGAAACTGGAAGATCTTTAGCGCAGTTCAGGTGAAAAATATCGTGGTCTTTTTTGTTAAGCTAAGATAAATGAAGGAATTACAAGAGTAATTATTATTATTGGTATAATTATCCGCGGTTTACCTCAAGTTGTTAGCCTTGTTTACCTCACACGCCTTGAAAATTGTATACTTTACATAGCATTTTCTAGTATTTTCCAGTCTTAAAGTACGCGTTATGGACTAACCCTCTTGTCCACTGCACCAATGTAAAAATCGTGTAGAAATGCCATTTAGAGCCATGTCCCAGGCCCTATAGAAAACTAATTCGTCATCAATATAGAATTTCGTATTGCTTGTCATCAAAAACTCAATTTTCTCAAAAATGGAAAAAAGGAATGTCAAGAAGTGGGCAACGGAGGTTTTTCACACTGCCGCTTTCATGGGGATTGTATGAAAAAAAACGGCCAACTCTTCAACAAACGTAAACATTTCCCTGCAGGTGTCGCCTTTGATAATTACATAAAAATGTAGTTAAATAATTAGTCAGTATGTTTTGAAACTGAGACGCATATTTCGGTATATTTCTAAGGGTCGGATGGTATATGTTAACATTAAATCCGCGGTCACACTATTAATTTGCCATCACCAAATTACAATTAATAAAATAAAAATAAAAGTAAAATTTTTAGAATGAATTTAAGTGTTGTGCTGGTTTTGCTAAGCATCGTCGCCAACGGATGGGTAAGAAGACATATCTATCAATAAGCCACTTATAATAATTAAATTTTTGCATGCAGTGCTTTCTGGAACATGACAGTTGGATTACAGTTGAGCTCCATCATGCGCTAGCATCAAACACGGACGAATTTTCTTTCCGCGGAAATGTTACCATTCCCAGTCTAAATTCGGGCTTGTCCAATGTAGCTCAACTTCCTTTGACCCATGGAGAACTAGACATGTTAAAGGTAAGTAAAACTACAGACCGGCATTAATCATACATATGTACCTATGTACTATGTACATATGTGCGTACAAAGGCTCAGGTTAAATCGTACAGCGCATGCATTCAGATGAAGATTTATGAAATCGAAATTAATGAATGCACGTACCAATGTTAAATAATATCCTGTCAGCTTAACTTTGGGCTATTTTTATTTTTCGATTTAAGGTTAAAATAATTGCACATCTGATTTCATTACCCCATGCTTTAGGCTCTTGGCAAACAAAATGAGTTCTACCGCTTGAAGGCAACTGTGGTATATCCCAACGGCAGTAAGGCACGCTTCATTACATCCAACAAGGCCTGCAGCTTGCTGCAAGCTCATCTGAACGATGTACTGTGGATCTCACTAGACCCTTCTGGATATGTTACCGCTGTTACTGTCTCGCAAGATGCATCGCCAGGTACCGACGGCTGCACAAGTGATGAAATAAATAAGTTGGAGGAAACGCATTTTAACACCGACGTTTTGATCCGTCACGCTGAGCTAGCTCCTGTACCAGATACAGCTGGCTTTATTCAAAAGGTCGAGCGTGAGCGTGAGGCCAGAGATCGCGGGGAAGTTCGTGATAACCGAGGATTCTTTGCCAAATATGTAAGCTAAAACATTGTGATTTGAAAATATCAGCCAATAATTGTTTGGTTTTTTAGTGGATGTATATCGTTCCTGTAGTGCTATTGGTCTTTATTTCTGGAGCTACAAACCAAGACGGAGCTAAATAAGAAATCAAGTAACTAAAGTTTACATATTTCGTTAGCTCTTTTAATAAAAATCGTAGACAATTCTGTATTATTTAATACATAAATAATAAGTAATAAATTTACAAAAAATAAATAGGTGCCCCTTGCTAGCAACGTCTTATGGAACAAATTTAAAACAAATTGCTAAAATGGTTTGCGTTTTTTCATTTTTTCGGTAGTTTCTGTGTAAAACAGCAGATAAGCGTATTTAAAGTGCTGGTGGTTTATCTAAAGAACGCTTGTTTGTTGCTTTGGACTTTGGAAAATATTTTTCAGATGTTTGTAGGGCAAAAAAGGAAGTATCAAGGCTTGACGCCAAATTTTGGCCGCCCCCTTCCACTCACATAAAGAGCAAAAATCTGTGGCATCACAAATTTTAAATTTTTAAAATAATAAAAAAAAAAATAGAAACCGCAGAGCCATAGAAAATGACCATATCTAGCAGATTGCCAAATCTGGATCCGATCGGATTGTTATTATAGCCAGAAGGAACAACTGATATTTCAGTGGCTACGGAACACCACCCACGCGCTTACTCATTCTCTCTCTCTCTCACACTCTTCGTGCAGTGTGCTCCCCTTGCGGTGGGGAGTTAGATATAACGACTAGTGTGGGTGTTAGAAATGAAAGAGAGAGAGACGGATGTAGCGGAATAGAAAACAGTAGCGGAAAAATGCTAACAGATAAATTATTCTACTAAAATAATACGTCAGGTGGAAAGATGACAAACGGAGTTCAATAATTAGCATTAAAACATAAATACATAGCTCCGGCTCCGATACCAATTTCGGCGCTTACGTATAAAATATACTGTTAGTTTACATAAATCTCAAGAATGTATGTATATAGGAAAGTCAAAAGTCGAATTCTGTCGGATTTCACTGTATTAAATAAATGCAACAGGAATGAGTGCTCAATAAACATGACGTGAGAAATATTAGAGCCAAAATTCTATTTGTATTTGCTTTTACCGAAACGGCAAGATTGTCTCCAAGTCCGACCACTATATTATACCAAAGTATCAAAATATAGTTGGTTGAGGCCAAGGGCGTACTCAGGATGTCGCGAGGATGTTACTCAGGATGTTAGATATGTGTGGTGGCAGTCATTTATTTTATTCAGTAATTTTGATAATATATTTTTATTAAATTGTCTTCTGGGACTTTTCCCGAGCTCCTCCAAGACGTCGTGTTGGAATTCCGAATTACTCTCTTTAACTAGGCGTCTGAAAATTCTAGAAAGCACTACCTGCAGAAATGCTGGCTAGATAAAACTTAAATTTTCAATATCAATTGGATCAAAAGCAGATAAATATAATTCTGGACTATTTTTCACTTTAAATCTTTGCTTCAATATAAGAAAAAGATATGGGTCTCTGGTAATATATTGGCACAGATGCAAATGCAGGATTTGCTTGAAATGGTTGCTTTTGAGTATTTCTTGGAGTAGTACAATCAATCGCAATGCTTTTTTTAACCCTGGTGGATTCCATATATACACAATATATTTTATTAAATACTACATTAGCTGTAGATATATGCAACTTAAATATATATAAATATGAATTGCAAAACGTTTTGAACGGCTCAAGAATTGCGTTTTTTCAGTCAGAGCTTAATAATTGAATTGATGCTTTTCTTTTTGAAGCAACTCCTTCTCCGTTAGTTTTTCTAAGGCAACAACTATTTACAAAAAACATCCGACGACTTGAAATATGTCCTTTAATTGCCGAAATGCTGTTTCGCATTTCAGATACCGCTTTTAAGTAATTTACGGCAGTGAAAATATCTGCTTTTCGGAAATGATGGTTTTAGAACACCTCCATCAAAACCTAGTCCAACACCTTTGTGAGGATTGAGATCCATTTCATTCACTTATTATTTAATATTTGCAGCTATAGTTTCTGCATTCAAAGTCTATAAAGCCAAACAAACTTCTATAATTTGCATTTGGCCTTTGTCAAAAAAACGAATACCAATCGAGGGGTGTTCTTTTCCAGATATGTCTGCTGTCTCATCTGCCAAAATTCTATATGCAGCTATGTATATGTCTTTAAAAACATATATTTGACTTCATAACGTTGCCGCAAATATCAATAGGTTCGTTTTGATTTTTCGATTTACATACGTATGTAGAATATTTTATTTTTAACTTCGAAGTAATTTTTATGGATATTCAAAAAATGCTATTGAACTTTTCTAAACATGCCAGGGGAAGATCAAGCATTTCATAAAATATTATTGGAAAAGTAATAGATTTTAAAAAGTTTATATTGTCATCTAAAATTTTTCTGTGATCAGTTTGTATTTGAACATCCACCGGCAGGCTGTCCAAAAACAATTTCGCTGACAGAGCTGCCTCCTTGTGCGGGTTTCAGTTCGAGCATTGCTCACATGTTTGCCTATACAAAATAAATTTTTAAACATTTTTGTTTTAATCGATAAAGAACGTTTAATGTTCAATTTTGATTTACATAATAAAATTAAATTATAAAACTTGGTCAAATTGTTTATTTTTGTAAAATATCATTGAAATTGCAAGCAATATCTAATAAAAGTAATTTTTCTAAAAAAATCTATTTGCCGACTTATTTTGGTATAGATGATATACGTACATATGTATGTAGGGATTTTGTATAGGGTTTTATACCTCCGACAGACCTTATTTGGACGTTTTTTGTGTAAGTTGCGTTACTTAAATAGATCTGAAAGACGGCTAAAATATTCTAGGAACATATTCAAAACACAAACTCAATGAAATTCAGGAATATATTTGTTTAAGGCCAAGCTTTAAAACAACCCACAAATTAGATGGTTTGGAAATTTTTTAGAACTTCAACGAATACACCTTTATACGTAGGCTGTACTTTAAGTCCGTAGCCTTGGCTATTTCGGGTATGATCAGAATCAAGCTTAGAACTCTTACTTGTACGGATGTGTTTTTGAGAAAATTGGAATTGACGAGAATGCTTCGATAAATAATGTTCGACCTTTGGTGATGAAGCACCATGCATTGCCACTGCGGAAAACTGGTGAAACGGATTCAGTAGTGTCCGTCCTTCGCTGCAAAACGAATCTCGTAAGGCTCGTCCACAACGGTTGTTGTGCTAGAGCAAATTGATGGAGTGCGTGAATTACAATTGCAAGATCGTCACGCAACATAGCGTCAGATAGAGGCAAATTTGGGTGTTCGTGGGAGCAGCGTACATTTAATATTGCATCAACATTTGGCCGTCTAAAAGATATGTATGTATGTTCCCGTTGGACTGCACACATTTTGTACAACTGCGCAAAAAAAGGCTCGTGTCGACTGGTGCAAAGAAATCTTGATGAAATATAGCCACGGTGATTCAAAACACGTTTATGACATCTTAATAGCTGACGAATCATGAGCCGAAAACAAAACAACTATCGACGGTATGGGTGTTCCACAACGAGGTAAAGCCAACAAAAGTTATTGGGGGTCGTTGCAGTTCAAAGAATGGTCGCCTGTTCCTTTGTACAAAGGGGTCATGCTGCACTTGTTACTTTGGAGACACGTAGAAGCGTTAATTCGGAGTTGTACACAACCATTTGCAGAATTGAGGGAAACCAACCTGAGAAGACGGCTCCTACGTCATCATAAAACTTCATCCCACTGCAGAGCATTTTTGTATACGGAAAACATCGAATTATTGGGTCATCCGCCTTACAGCCCTGACCTGGCAGCTAATGACTCTTTTTATTCCCGACTTGAAGAAAAAAATGCGCGGACACCGTTCTATCACGACGGAGGGAGGAGGCTGTTGAATAATTCAAAACACTCAATTGAGAGGTGTCACCTTCCGAGTGGAAAAAGTGCTTTGAATCCATCATCATGGAGAATATTTAGAAAAGCAATCAAATCATTTTTAATGTTATTTTGTTGGCTCTTCTCTATGATTCTACGGAGCTGAAAGTAGTAATAGATACATTAATATGTAGAATCATACGTCATAAGTATTTTACTGTGTATTCCACATGAAAGTTTCAGTATGTGAATTAAAGTTGAATACATTTTTGCACCCTAAAACAATTTGCCACTTTGAGTGCTCATAACTATCTGCGAAACTCGGGTTTTCTTTCAAATTAGATTTTGGGTAGCTTTTATTCAAAGCGCTAATAAAATTCTTTAACTTTTGCCACCTCCTTTCGGCTGAGGCCCCACTGTGCGTCGTACTTCAAGGGGTATATAAACCTCGGTACTGATGAAGCTCGCTCATTTGAGTAGTCTTTATTCTATGACATAACACCGGATATTTATTACCTGTAATCAAATAAGTAAATGACCGTAATGATATGTTACAAACGGACTAATGTTTTTCAATTATGAATGAATATATCCACATGTATTACATTGTAAGCATTTTTGCATTTTAGAAATATCTCCTTTACACCTGCCACAAATATACTGCGTGCGGGACGCATACATACGTACTAATCCAAGTGAAAATGTAAAATAAACCATAATTAAAACGTTTGTAGACAGTAAACGGAGTGGGCAACCAGGGAGAATTGTAAATTACACGGTCGCTTAACCACGGGCCACCCCGAATTGGGCTCGAGTACGCTGCGTGCCGAGTGGTTGCAACACAAAATTGTAATTACAATTTCCTGGCGCTTTCCCGGAGAAGGTGGCCCCGGCTGGCAGTGTGAGTCTGAGTCCGAGTCCGAGTCCCCCCTCAACGAGTGCTAAAAAATAATTTTGATGATGTTGCCTATCAGTGCGGTAAGGAGGACTACGTGACAATTTGTCGATACCCGAATTTCTTCATCGGCCAGCAACGCCCTCGGTGGTGTAAAAAACGACTCGGCCCGCCTTGCCTCGCCCCTCCCGTGGTCGTTTTATTTCTACCCGCAAAATGCAGGCAAACCAAGCATGTGGTAACCCATAATTTACGCCCAAGGAAGTTATGATATTGATTACCATAAAGAATATCCAAGGTGGTTTTCTAGATTTGTTACCCTAATGCTAAGAACTTAATTGCACTACGTCATCGAGATAATCTGCCAATATATTGACAGACATTTCACAATGGGTTGTTTAAATTGTTACATTTCT